TCTCCATGAAAGGCAAGACTCACCCCACCCTCCCTTTTTACCCTTCACCATTCTAGCCATAAACCTTCCATTGGCCGATGTCGCAGGGAGCCAGCAGCTACATTTCCACAAGCCGTGGCTTAGTAACCCCTGCCTGAAAGGACACGGCACTCTTCTCATTCAGTCCTTCTCCAGGCTCAATATTGGGCTGAACATTCCAACGGGCATCCCGGGTCTGTTGTCTGTTGTCTGACGTGGGCTGTTTGGGAAGTACCACACCCACGTTAGTCACACGATCAGTGTTACAGGGGGTCTTTGCACTTCACCCTGTGGTCGCTCGTTCTATTAGACAAGGTCTCCTTGTCACAGTCCTCCTGCCTCACCTTCTGAGTAGCTGGAAGTACAGCGTGTGTCCAGCTCTTTAGGGTGGGCTGGGAATTGAACCCAGGCCTCCCTGTGGCCTCAGCCTGGCACTTGGCAGGCTGTACTCCCGTGACTGGCCTGATGCCTTATGTTGAAGCTCCCTGAATGCTGGATTTATGCCTGGGATTTACTGTCTGTCATCTAAATACTTGGGTATTTATTTACCATTCGTTTCTCCCCTGATTGAGAGACACAGATAGAGAGACATCATCTCCAACAGGGTCTTGATGCCACAATCCACCCCTGCCAGCCCCGGATCACGGGCACATGCTTGCCCATTGTACTTGGGGGGTCTCTGGACTGAACCCAGAACCCATCCATGTGGGTGGGCCTTGCAGAGCATCATGTCTTAGCACTGGGTCATCCGAGCCCCAACTGTGCAATTCATGGAGAAGACCATCATGTAGACCTTGCAAGTGTTTACCCGCATCTCCAGCTCTCCCGTCTCTACCCAGAGAGGAGACATAGCCTTGCTCTGTGGCAGCAGGGCAGGGCCACGTGGCAGACCCCGTCCAGTGCGCTGAGAGTTGAGGTAATGTCTTTTCCAGGGCAGATACTTTCCATGCCAGGGCACGGCTCTCCACGCCCCTCCCCTGCTGCAGCAGCTAGGGATGAGAGCTTGTGTTGAGTGGACTGACTTTGCCATCAGACGTCCTTCCAGTGAGCTGCGCTTCCTAGGTGACAGACGTGGCATGAGCAGAAGTCAAACTGGGGTTGCATTAAGCCAGAGAGAATCGGCGGTTGTCATTACTGCAGCATCTCTGCACTTAACCTGACTCTAGAAGGCCACGGACCGTGTTCTCCCCGGGCTGACTGCATGGCACAGCACGAATGCACTGCTCGAGGGAAGCTGGGTCCCACATGAGGTTGCTGTGCAAAGCCTCTGCCTGGTCAGCCTGAAACACCTGGAGCACACGCGTGAGTGCCCAAGATTGGATGGGATCGTGGTGTGACCAGACCTTGTGGAGGGTGGCGTTCTTGCTCTCTCTCTCTCTCTCATGCATGTGCTTGTTCTCTGTATTGAACAAAAGGGGGACAATTTTAAAGAAAAGTATAAGATGAGAATTGACATCTTATTCCGAGGAGCTCTGAAGCTGCTGGCGGCTCTCCGTGGGGCAGGGGCACCGCGTGTGCTTAGATTGCTCAGGTAGAAGTGAGCTGAGGAAGCAGTCGTGCCTCGACAAGGACCGTGGTGCCAGGCCAGCAGGCAGGCGCAGTCCTTTCCTGGGCATCGGGGCTCTTGCATCTGCTCATACCTCATTGTAAAGATGCCCTGAGATGGGACCAGCAGTTAGCATAATGGCTATGTTGCTGGACTCCCACATAGTCGACCGCGATTCATGTCCTGGACCCAGTGGCTTAAAACTCACGCCAGGCACGTGTGCATGAATGCCTAAGATCCTGAGAGGAGAACAGAGGAGAAGGGATTGCAGCGTGGCCATCCCCCCCAGGGGGTGATTTCTCACTTTCTGTCTGTCTGTCTCTGTCTGTCTGGCGAGCGCATGTGCCCTATAGCAAAAACCTCTCCAAAAAAAAAAAAAAGATGCCCTGAGACCTGTTCCCTGCAGATATAAAAAGCGCGTTATTCCCGCTGTCCATGGAGGCCAATCTTCAGGACAGAATTTGGAAAACTATTGGGGGGAGGGACAAAAAGGGCCAGTCTGAAAGCCGACTTGGTCACGGGCAAGCATTCCTGGCTCTCCTTTGTTCTGAAATTCAGACGGCAGGAACCGGAGTATTCCCCGTCTGCGCAGCGTGAAGGGTGTCTCTGGCCATTCCAATGGTGCCGCCTATTTTACATATTCTGGAGCAAAACATCGTCGGTTCTGGAGCTCCTGATTCCCTGCCCTGAGGAGCTCTGATTCCTCATGACAATTAATCGAAATTAAAACAGACTGCAGAGAACGAAGCAAATTTAAACATCCGGCCTCCATTAGAAACACCTGTGCGTTAAGATGAATCATGGGCCCGCCTGCGTGTGGCAGGTACATCAACATTGCAGAGGAAAGAGAGGGGTGCCGTTTTCCTGGGGAGGTCCGAGTGGACCCCCCAGGAGCAGAGGTCCTCAGCCTGAGTCTCGGCTGCCCGAAACCGCTTAACATCCATCATTGTCCATGAGGTTGGAATGAAATATTTTCTTGTTGAAAAGCTTATATAGTTGTGGCAATTCTTGTTACAAGACTTCAAATGCCCTTGTAGAGAGCCCTAGAGAAGGTAAATCATTGAAACGCTTTCCTTTGTCCTATTTGCCCCGGAGAAGCATCAGAAGACACAAAGTCAAAGTGTGCATTTGTGGCTTTTTCATTTTTCTTTTTTCCAATCGCCTATTCTGGATTCATTATTCACACCGTGCCGTGTGCTGTGGAACCAGAGGCAGCCCTGCCTGGTGATGAAGCACGTGTTCTCGGGGGGCCAGACTTGCTGGGCTGGCGTCCTCCGTGTGCTCCTCTGAGCTGTGTCTCCTGGAATAAGTGACTTCATACTCCCAGGCTCAATCTCTTTCTGCAAACTGCGGATAACCAACAGTGAGACCTACCTCTCGGGGGTAAGGGGAACAAGCCAATTCCTGTGTGTGGCAGACACTTTGTAACTATTTCTATGGCTGTTATTTGGCAAGTTACCTTAAGTTCTCTAGGCTACAGTTTCTTTATCTGTAAGCTAGAGATGAGGGACCAGCAGATAGAGTAATGGCTATGTCCTGGACTCCCACGTAGTCAACCACGGTTCGAGTCTCAGACCCAGCAGCTGAGACACGCCGGGAGCGTGTGCGTGCATGCCCAAAATCCCGAGAGGAAATTGGAGAAGGGACTGCAGCATGGCCATCCCCTGTAGGGTATGATTTCTCCCTTTCTGTCTCTCTGACTCTGTTTCTCTGGTGAGCGCGCATGCCCTAGAGCAAAAATCTCACTTAAAAAAAGAACAGGAAGATGAGGTTTCCAGCTCGTAGCACTGCTGTGAGGGCTGAATCGAATACTGTGAGGGCTCACTCTCCAGCTGAGAAGTAAGACAACAGTGGCGGCATGGCTGCTGTGAGGGCTGAATCGAATACTGTGAGGGCTCACTCTCCAGCTGAGAAGTAAGACAACAGTGGCGGCATGGGTTGCTGTGAGGGCTCACTCTCCGGCTGAGAAGTAAGACAACAGTGGCGGCATGGTATCCTCTCTGAGGTGCTCATTACGTGCCAGCCTCTTCACAGCTGTCCGCATTTATCTCTATGGCAAGTCTCATAGGCAGACATCACTCCATTCTCCTGACCAATGAGGAAACTGAGGCACGGAGAAACAAAATAGTCCTCCTCTGTCCACACAGCGTACTAGCCAGCAGGATCAGGGCTCTAGCCTAGCTGTGTCATGCTAAAACGTGGGCTTGGAACAACTGTCCCACAGTCCTAAGAAAAGGAGAGAGAATGCCCTAGCCCCGTGGCCTGGTAGTTAAGGCAGCCAGAACTCACATGGCCGACTGTGCAGTTCGAATCCTGGGCCTGGTGGCTTGTGGTGTAGACATTTCTAATAGGGGGCGCTTCCTCCTGTCTCTCCCTCTGTCTCTCTCTGGTGATCACACAAGCCCTCCTAGCAGATAAACAGAGAGAGAGAAGGGGTTTATGTATGGTATCGCACATGGTCTCCAAGTCCTGGTTACCGTTACTGTCAGTGCAGTTAGAACTCAGTGTGAGTTTAGGGCACTCCTAAGTGGGAAGGAAGCATCTAGGTTAGAGGCACGGGTGAGAGAAGTTCTGAAGTCTGGATTTTGCAGAATTGGATGGGCAGTATTGTGGTATAATAATAGTACGGACATGCCTACTTCAATAGGAACTTGGTTCACAGAATTCAAATGACAGTGGGCATTAATGAACTGACATAAATCAATTCTCATCACGTAGGACCAGCCAGTGCTCTTTCGAATAGAGCCCCCGAACAGAAAGGTCAGGGAAAGCCCCTCACAGGGCGTGGCATGTAACCGAGACCTGAGAGGCTCTGGGCAGTCAGGACGTCCATCTGCATATCCACCGGATCCCGGCCTAGAACAGAGGGTAGGAGGGGACAGGACTGAAGGGAGGCAGGCCTGGCCGTGCAGTCTGGAGAGGGGCTGGCAGTCGGCTGCAGGGAGCGGCCAGTTCTCAGGAGCATCGCGGGCAGGATGAAAAGGATGTAGAGGGGCCGGCAGGTGTTGTGGTGGTTACGGCGCTGGACTCCCACATGGCCGACCACGGTTCAGGTCCTGCACCTGGCAGCTTGCTTTCTCACTTTGTCTCTCTCTTTCTCTCTCTCTGGTCAAATTAAAATAAATAAAGAATTACTAAATAATAATAATAACAAGGACATGGAAATGACTAGAAGAAGGGGAGAGGAAAGACTAGAAAGAAGGGTGGTGTCTTACACTGGTTTCCCTCGGAGACGAACCTCAAGACAAGGACTGAAGTGCAGGCGGTGTCGTGGGCTGGTCGTGGTGGCAGAGGCAGTGTCTTCCCAGGTCCTCGGTGTCCTCCCAGTGTGCTCCCAGGTCCTCGGTGTCCTCCCAGGTCCTCAGTGTCCTCCCAGGTCCTCGGTGTCCTCCCAGTGTCCTCCCAGGTCCTCGGTGTCCTCCTAGGTCCTCAGTGTCTTCCCAGGTCCTCAGTGTCCTCCCAGGTCCTCAGTGTCCCGAACAAAGAACTGACCGAGACACAACAGCGAAGGCAAAGAAGGTTTATTAAGCAAGAGTGAAAGCATACTCCCAAGAGGTAGAAGCAGGCCAAGTGGAAGAGAAAGAGGCTCTAGGCCTCCAGCAGTTGCATTCTGTGAGGGGTCAGCCAGTGGGATAGTGAGTAGGTGCTGGACTCCACATGGCTAACCATGGTTCGAGTCCTGGACCCGGCAGCTTGAAAATTGCACCAGACATGGGTGAGCATGCCCAAAATCCCAGGAAGAGAAGAGAGGAGAAGGGATTGTGGCGTGGTCATCCCCCTGAGGGGGAATTTCTCACTTTCCCTCTCTCCGTGTCTCTGTGTGTCTCTCTCTCCAGCAAGTGCATGCGCCCTAAACATAATTAAAGAAATAAAAGAGGTTTATTCCTCCTTTACCTAGGTTGGGTAGCTTGATCATGGCTGGCCACTGGCTGTTCTCACCGCCCTGGCTCTCTCAGATGTGGCTTACTCAGAGACACAGCCCACTGGGACTCTCCCACCCACATTACGTTGGGGGAGCGTTTCTGCCCTGACCAGCTTTTCCATCTGGCCGGGTAGGCCCACGCTCCGACACCCGACACTTGCCCATTCCCACTTGCCTCCTTTTCCTGCCTCAGCAGTTCATCTCAGGAGAACCAGGAGTGTTGGAGAGGAAGTGCTTTGGAGAAGCAGAGGCAGCCAGATGGGCAGCTCCGCCAGCCAGCGAGGCACTCAGTATCTGGAGGGTACCCACGGAGCGCTCCTGGGCCTGGACAGAACAAAGGCCTCAGCGCTGTCCTCTCTTAGGCTGGAGAAGCTGGGGGATTCGTGAGCCAGTTCCCACGAGTGCCTGGCCGACAGGTGCCATTCCCTGCAGCGTCCAGCCTGCTCTTCCTACACAGGCTTCTGGTGCATCCCCAAAGGCCCTCGGGCTAAAAAGGTACAGATAGGGCCCTTCGGTGGGGATGTGGTGGTCGGGACGGCCAGATCCCACATGGCTGCTTATGCCTTCGGAGTCCCAGATCCAGGGCTTGAAAAACACACCTGGTGCACGTACATACGTGCCCAAAATCCCAAAAAGAAATAGAGTAGGAATTGCAGCGTGGTCTTCACCCGGGGGGTGATTTCTCACTTTCTGACTGTGTCTCTCTGTTTCTCTGATGAGCATACGAGCCCTATAGCAAAAATGTCTTTAAAAAACTGCCCGATATGTAGATAGCTACACAGTTCTTACTCTGTGATGAATAATGAAACAGGGACCTTGTAGATTGTAGTATGCCAATAAAATGTCATAAGTGGTTAAAAAAAGAACAACAACAACAACAAAGAAGAAGAAAGAGGAAAGAAATCCTGTAGGAAACTTGAGAGTGAGGATCAAAGATGGCCAAGGACAAAGACTCAAAAGCGTTAACAAGTAGGAAACAGGGAGTGAAGCCCACAAGGAAGGATGGAAAGTCCCTTCACGGAGCTGGGAGAAACAGGAGCTCTGCGTGCGACGGAGACGTGTCGAGGGCGTTTCGGGAGGTGGGGTTGGAAAGTTAGCACTGGCTGCAGCATAGTCAAGGCACATGAACGATGAAAAGATGCTACTGGGTTCAGCGACAAGCAAGTGTTCAGGGACCGCGGGGCGGTGCTGACAGAGGTTCTATTGGACCTAAGAAGACGTGTGTGAGTGATTGTAAACTGTGGATACTGATAACTCAGGAAGTCTGACAGAATGCGAGGAGAGGGAGAGAAAATCAAAGCGGAAGGTGCGGTACCTGTCAAGTACTTCAAGTAAACCATGTTCTAGTGCTTTCTAAAAACCGAAGGTGGGGGCAGCAGGTGGCATGGTGGTTAAGGCACTAGACTCCCACATGGGCTTCCACAGCTCGAATCCCGGACCTAGAAGCTTGAAAATCACACCAGGTGCACAGTACATGCCAAAAGTCCCAAAAGGAGAATGGAAGAAAGAAGATTGTGAGTAGCCATCTCCCCTGAGAGATGATTTCTCCCTTTTACCTTCTGTCTCTCTCTCCAATGAGAGTATGCGTATGCACCCTATGGCAAAAACAAAAACAAAGACAAAAAGCTGAAGGTGAATATCAGGTTAAGAGAGGAATTTTTGGTGAGGGGAGAATCTCTTGGTAAAGAAAATGGAAGAGACTTTTAAATGTTTGAGGAGAAAGAGACAATGAAGGGGAGCATCTTCGATCATTGCGCTGCTCTGACAGTACATGTGGGACTGGATCATTTATAAGGGACGGAGTTTGTTCTTACTGCTCTGGAGTCTAGGAAGTGCACGACCAAGGTGCCACCACTGGTCATGTGAGGGCCTTCTTGTGTCCTCCCGTGGTGAGCGACAGAGGGACAGCAGGAGCCAATCCTAGTTCCCTCAGTCCTTGGATACGGCACCAGTCCACTCATGGAGCACAAGCCTTACGACTCAGTCCCTTCCCAGAAGGCTCCACAACTAAACAGCAGCACAGCGGGGGTTATTTCAATGTGAATTTTGTAAGGGACACATTCAAACCACAGCAGAGGTGCAGAGTGGAGGTATAGATGGTGATGAACAGGCCATAGGAAGCACTCTACGGGACTTTATTTCCTTGGTTGAACATGGGAAGGACTAAAGTGGTGGGTGAAGATTAAGCTAATCTGTGTATTTGGAAGCTTGCTATTCAGAAGGCACCTGTGTATTTTCTCCATGCATTAAAAATCGAAGCCAGTGGCCAGTGGCTGGCATGGTGGTTAAGGTCCTGAATACCCACATGGCCAACCACAGTTTGAAGCCTGGGCATGGAGGCTTGAAAACCATGCCAGACGTGTGTGTGTGTGTGTGCATGCACACACGTGTGCTCTAAATCCGAGAGGAAAACAGAGAAGGGATTGTGGCATGCCATCCCCCTGGGAGGCTGTTTCTCTCTTTCC